TTTTTTTTTTAAGTTAATTTTGAAGGATGTTATGGGTAGAAAATTTTAAATTTAGTTAAAAATCTGTTTCTTTTTTTTCAATTATTTGAAATTTAAGCGCTAGTCTAAATAAATTATGTATTTTGTTGTAATTAATTAAAAATTTCATCTCATCTGGACTCTAGCAATTTTCTTTAAAAGAGAGGGGGGCAGCCATGACCTAAATCGATAAACTATAATCTACAATAGACTGAATGAAAATTTATGAAAAACAATAATGCGTAACACATTATTCAACGAGATATGTTTACAGAATCGCTAGAGGATTATTTGTATAACCTTAACCTTGTATTATTTAACTTTAATGTTAAATTAGACAAACCAGTTATTTTAAAATGTACTACAATAATACATATTTTTATTCTTAAAACTATTCTAAGCATTATATGTGTAATATATGGCATAAAATTGCTATTCATATGCATAATTATATTTACTATGGTATAAAAAGTGATTTACCATATAAAATATTTGTAATTTTTAATCTGAATTGGCCCTGGTTGTTTTCAATCCACATTATTTTAGATAATTAGAGTTCTACTGTATTATTTAATTGTTTAATAATATGGTTTTAAAAATAAACAAGTAATTTAATATTTTATGTAAAAGTAGTTTAAATACCAATTAAATTTTGGTTATTGGTTACAACGAGTTGGGCATTAGCTACAACGGCTATATTGCCCCATGGAAAGTGAAAATTCAGTGGATAGTATTAGTAATGCTAGGTGGAGCGGGAATAATACCTTCTGAGAGGTCTTCTTAAGGGAAACTGGCCCATATTTGGCCCATAACTGGCGTTACAGACGTGGAGATTCAATGGTTTTGATGATTTTGGTAATCTCATGAATTTTTAATAAATAAAAAATTTTCTTTTATTTAAATGGCTAACAATAAATATTTTGTGCTTTATAGCACATATTTTTTTTTACTGTTTATCAAGCTGCATCACAAGAAGGTTGGGCATTATTAATGTACAGTCGACCCCTCTATAACACTGTTGATTTTTCCGTTTTATATGAATTCCTTGTTGTACGAGTCACTTAGATTTTACAAATACGTGTGCTGGGCTGTGAACAGCTCACGTATTTGTAAAATCTAAGTGACTCGTACAACATGGAATTCATATAAAACAGAATTATCAACAGTGTTATAGGGGGG